AAAAAAAAAAGCCAGTATCATAAGAGTGGACAAGGCACTGGGCAAGCAAAACGAGCCGGCAACAACGAATGTTCCAGGATACTCGTTGAATGCCTGGCAAAATCGAAGATTGCGCAATAATGATGCAAGAACCGCTGGTGCTCCACAGTGCCAATTCATTTCATGAAATGTGTAAGTGTGTGTCAGCACGCTTACCTAAAGAACTCCTTACAATTCCCCCTTTTTCCCCGGTTAACCCCCTTCCTCATTAGGCTTACTTAGTCTGGAAAGTAAAGAAACCTATCAAACCTACAGCAGTCTCCCCCCTCCCTTTGCTCCCGAGGAAACCACATTTTTTATTAATCGCTTACAGCCAATTTCTATTGAAGAATCAGTTTTCTCGTTTTTTCCACAACTCTGTATGGTTGAGAGCGATACTCCGCCACGATCACGCTGCTAATGTACGGAAGGTGTAAAGCAGAGAGGTGCGATTTTTGTCTTGAATTATCTCTTTTTGTGCCTAAAATGTCGTTGCGAGAACTGAAATGGCTGAAGTATGATGCTGCATTTTATAGGATGACAGCTAATGGAGCGGGATGAAGTGCGGCTCCGAATATCATTTTACTCATCCGGTCCAAATTTGCAGTCTGGATGAGTAACTTTGCGTTATCCTGCTTTTTTCCCCCTTAACTGCTCCATTAGCAGAACTGGAGGTGGAAAGCCGTGGGTCAGGTAACAGGTCACCGTTAAAATCCGTAAAAATGATACTTACCTTATCAGACATTCACAAGAAGCTCACATTCGACCCTTTGTACTCGCTCGATTTCATTCCAGTACGCCGGTTATCTGACATAGCCATATTCCCAAGGCACCCAACCCCATGAGAGAGCAAAATTGAGGTAAAGATGCGCATTCAACTTCAAAACTGTTCTGACAGCAATCCAGGGTTTATCTCTCGAGGTACCGACCGGCAAGGAAGTGAGCGAGTCGGGAAGAAATAATCATGCAAGAGGGAATCTTTCTGCATGGCGGCTTATTTAGCCTCAAGGCTGAAAAAAGTGAAAGCTGCAGGTTTGCTTGGTCTGTTTCAGGAGAAGGTCCAGTCCTGAAGAAGCGCGTGATCAACAGTGGTAGTTGGGGATTTTTTCGGCTCATATGTTCAAATTCGGACATTTCTCAATGTCGAAATACAGGCTTTTCGGGACCTAAATCATAATCATCCCGAATCTCTAACAGGAAGTGTTATATGGAAATTCAGCTCTAT